TCTTGAATTCAGAATTCAAGTATTAATAAGCAAAAAAGAGAATATTGTCTATTATGCAGACTGCAAAAGTAAAACCAAACAACATCCAGATCTTGATCAATCAATCCAAAGCTTCAAAATGTCCAGAAAATGCATCACCATTGCCAGTATAAGTTTCACCTGAAAAGAAGATAAATAATTCACATATAAAGTGCTATAAATAATATCAAATATTAAATTTAGATAAAAGATATACAATTACCTAAATCTTCTCCATGTCAATGGATTTTGTTTACATTGATGCTCAAAATGAGCTTTCATACGGCTAGTTCCGTGCTTCCTACTATGACACTTGTATTGTGCCCCACAATAGTTACAAGAGCACATAAGGTCTTTTGGATCCCTCCCCGGAATGAGAATAAAATGACTCCAAAGATATGATTTCTTTTTCCCAGCACTCCCATTTTATGCTTTAACACTAGAAACTTGAATAGGGGAGGGGTTTCGATTCTCAGTAGGTGTGGGGTTTGCGGGGCTAGATGCATCTTGTGTTTCTAGGACTGAAGCAGGCACATTGAGCGGATCCATCTATACAAGACAAAAGAATAAATTTCATAATCTATATGAAATAAATCGAATCAAATCAATGCACAAGCTCATACAAAACAAAGAAAATTAAACAATAACTAGTCTGGTAAAATTTAAATTTAAAAATATAATAAAATGAGTACTAAGAGATCCCAATACACTATCTGATATTAACGCAGTAGCACAAAAAATATTAACAAATTTAATAACTATTAATTTCAAAAGATATTAACAAATTTAGAGGATAAATTAATCTAGTTTTCAAAATTTAAATTTCTTGGTGCGGATCAAAAGACAAGAACAGAGAAGCTTATGAAGTTATGATCAAATCATATTGTCTAATGTCCAGGCTTAAACCAATTAGGCTTAGGATAGACAAGCTCAAGGAGAAGGAGAAGGTCACATACGGAGTATTAAACAGTTCATAGATTATTAGATGCGTAAATTGCATACCTCCTTCTACAGCAGACCCAAACCTCTTTAAATCTTTCTGAAGGATCTTGAGAGTTGCTTCTTAACTTCTTTAACCAGTCTAGTGCGAGAGAGAAGAGATGATTAGAAGTCAGACTTACCACTGTTGCCACTGCATATAAATAGCCTATTACGATGAGTGGGGTTTTCATATTAATTGAGAAGGAGAATGAACGTCTGGTGTAAAATCGAAGATCGAAGAGTCGGAGAATTAAATTTTTAGAACATCGAAGCGGCTGGACTGCTGGAGTAAAGAGCGGAAGAAGAAGAGGCCTACGACTGTGTATTGATGGCGGCTGGGTCGGGGGGTTATGGGTTTTTATTTTAGATGCCACACCCCTACCCGTAATGCACAGGTTCTTAAAAAATTAACCCATAAATTTTGTAATGGGCTAAATGTCCGACCGAAATCGGCTGGGTAGGGTCGGGGCGGGCGGGTTTTTCGGGTTCGGGTAATTTTTGTGCAGCCCTATAGGCAATAGTTATATATATAGTGGGGGATATTTTATTTGGGCCAAGGAAAGGGCATTGAGTTGACTTGCGAGTGACGTCAACTGATCATACGGCGGTTGTACATGCCAGGTAGTGATGGACCCGGGCCGGGTCGGGCCTGGGCTGAGCCAAGGTTTGGTCGGCCCGCGGGTCAGGTAGAGGTAGGCTCGAGACCGGCCCGGGCTATGGCCGGTGCCGGTGCCGGTTTGGGCCGGGTCACCCGCCCGGGTCACGGGTCGGGCCACCCGCCTGTCCGAGCCGGGTCATATTTTTTTTAATTATAGATTATACAAATTCTTATTAAAAACAAAGTTCAAGTGCATTTATTTGAAATAGGAACTACATTTGAGAATTGAGAAAAAAATAACAATATGAAATACATTTTCTAATAAATATCAATTGGGATTTCGGCTACCGTTGGTTGTTGTTTTGCCTTTGTCACAGGACTTCATATGTTTTATTGGCATCCGTGTGAACGCCCCAAGTAACACTCTTTCTTGCACCATTTGCCGGTCAATGTTACCTTCCATAACAATATATATTTAATTGACTAAAATTAATAATAATAATAATAATAATAATAATAATAACAATAATAATAAATGATAAATATAACTAGCTTATAAAATCAGGGTGTTACAGGAGGTGGCTGGGTGATCAGAGGGGGTTGTGGGCTAAGGAGGGGGAGGTGATGGGGGGCTGGTGAGTCAAGTCGATGGTCAGTGATGATGGCCAGTGACGGTAGTTTGTGGTGATGGTCAACGGCGGCGCTAGGGCGGGGAGGCCGGGGACAAGGCTGAGGGACTGTAAGCAGCAGGGGAGGGATGAGGAGACGCCGTGTCACTATGACTGGAGTCGGCGTGTAACGTTGACCAGAGCGGAAGTGTCACTGTGGCAGTGTCACCACCAGCGGTGTCACTGTGGCCTGTGGGCGGGTGGTAGACACCATGGAATGAAGTCACTGTGTGGTGTTGTCACCGTGAAATTGCCATTGTGGTGGTGTCATTGTAAAATCGTTACTATAGCATCGTTACTGTAGCGCCCGTAATTGTATTCTTAATACTTTCAGTTAGATTTTTGGAAAATTGAATAAAAGGTCACTTTTTTGTCATCCACTTATTAGTAATAATGATGTAAAAACCCCTAATATACTTCTACCATCGGAATACTTATTGCTAAATGTTTGTTGGAAATTTTTCTAACAATTAAATGTTTGGGTACTACAAATGTAGCATCGATACGGGTACACGGAAATGCGGAAACAAGTACGGGGATACGACGACAAAAAAAAAGTAAGATAGGGATATAAGGCCATATTTATAAATATTAAAATTTATGGGGTGTATTTATGAATATAGAAGTTATAGGGGTGTATTTATAAAATATTAAAAATACAATTTTTTTTTTGAAACAATACACATACATTATCTTGTGACGTCTACCCATTTATGGCATTAAAAAATTGTACATTTTCAAGATACTTAGAAATAAATTCATATTTTATCTCATATATAGTGGTGCATCTCGAAATATTAATATAGTCAACAAGTCATTAATTTAAAATGAAAAATAAGTCAAACAACTACAGTTTTGAAATTAAAAGTGCAAGTACTCAAAGTTCTAGAATAATGAAAATAGAAAACAATATATTATATTTTAAAAGTTCTATTCCGCAATACATATTTCCGTTGGAGCTATTAATTTCCAAGGATAATTAAAATTAGGGATAGGAGCTTGGATGGGTGAACGTACGGTACGGGTATCCTAGACTATCATATATAGGAACAATTCCGAGACGCCGTTATGACACCCTAATGAAGCATCCGTGCTTCATAGGGTACTACATATTTCACGGCCAGAGCGGTAATGAGATTCATAATTTTGTACATTTCGTAAATTTTGACTAGTTCAAGTCGTTACTTTCTTGTGCGAGACTCCGAGCAGTCACTTTTTGGAATTAAGTAATTAATTAATTAATGTTTATAAAAAATCTAATACTCCCTCCGTCCCTTAAAACTTTGCTATCTTTCCTTTTTGGCACATCCAAAAAATATTGACATTTTCCCTTTTAATCAATTATTTTGTGGTTTCTGTTATTTCTGTCTTCTCTGCACAAACCTAAATCATAAGCTGTATATGGCGTAGTTTTTAGGCCACAACGCGACATATATAGCGTGGTTTCATCTTCTGCCTAATTCATCTTCTACGCTTAATTAATTCCAATTACCAAAATCCGGCCATGGACGCCTCTAAATTCATCGCCAACCAGTCAGACGCTTCTCTAATGTTTGCAAAGCATGTCTTCTTTAAGCTGGTCAACGGAGACCGCAACCTCGCTCTGTCTCCCCTCTCCATTAACATCGCCTTGGGGATGGTCGCCGCCGGCTCTACCGACCACTTACGCCGCAGCCTTCTCGCTTTCCTCAGGGCCGATTCGGCCCGCGATTTCGACGCCTTTGCTTTCCATGTCGTCGCCAATATCCTCGCCGACGCCAGCCATGTCGGCGGCCCCAGCCTATCGGCGGCTAACGGTGTTTGGATGGAACAAACGGTGCCTTTCAAGCCCTCCTATAAAGATATTTTAGATAGGTTCTATAATGCTGTTGCTCAATCGGTTGACTTTCGTACCGAGGTTAGTTAATTCACTTGTGCTTTTTCATCATTTAATTTTAGGGTTTTTGATAAAGAGTATAATATATGGGGTTTATTTGTTAAACCCTAAATGTCAAGCTACGCAAGTACTAGATTAGATGTGAAGTACATATAAATCAGTTACTTTAATTGCAATTGAAAATTTTAAGAATACATTTTAGACCTAACAAACTAACAAAATACTTGTATGTCTCTTTTTCAAAGTGATTGTTTATTTAATTTGTTTTCCTAAACATTGGAAATTTTGAGTTTTCAAGATTATGCAAGGCGGATGAAATGGCTAAATTAATGGAACGACCCTAATGAGATAATTGAATAGTCACATATAATCATATTTTTTGCCATGAGTAAATTAAAGGGCTGCGGGCAACTGTTTATCTATACACAGAAAAGCAATTTAATTTGTTCCTTTTTTGTAATCATGTTATTAGCATTCTCGCCACACGCGAAAGCATGAAATAACGACGTACCCAAATTTTAGTAATTACGAGTATATGCTTGTGATTAGACCTTTTATACATGGTAATGATTATGCCTATATAAATTACATTCTTTGTACTCCCTCCCCTCCGTCCCCTTAAGTTTGTCCCGTTTTACCTTTTTCGTCCGTCCCACTAAGTTTGTCCCATACCATATTTGGTAACATTTGAGTGGTTAGAATTCATTCTTACTTTATTTACACTTTATCAATTCAATACCGACCACACAATTCCACTTTTTCTTAAAAACCACACCACACCCCTCCGTCCCAAACTTAGGGGGACGGATGGAGTACTTGTTAATTTGTAGAAAGATGAAGCAGTTGATGTTGTCAATTTATGGGTTGAGAAGAAAACCGGTGGTCTTATAAAAACTGTACTTGATAAGAATAATGTTTGTTCTAAAACCACTATCATCATCCTTGCAAATGCGCTCTACTTTAAAGGGGTTTGGGCTGAAAAGTTTGAAGAAAGATACACAAAAGATAGAGATTTCTACCTCATGAACGGATCATCTATCCAAGTACCTTTTATGAGTAGCGCTCAAAGGCAGTATGTCAAAGCATTCGATGATTTCAAAATCCTGAGTCTACCGTACAAGCAAGGTAAGGATATGAGGCGGCGATTCTCCATGTATTTCGTCTTGCCTAATGCAAAGAATGGTCTACCATCACTCATAGACATGATGGCTAAAGAATCCCAATTTCTTGAGCGCCACGCCCCGAGGATTCCGGTTGATGTGGGCGAGTTTTGCATACCGAAATTCAAAATAACTTTCGACTTTGATGCTGTACACGTTTTAGATGATCTCGGGGTGCAATTTTCCCGTGCTGGTCTAGGCGAAATGGTGGTAGACCCGAGGGAGAGCCCCTTTGTTTCAAGCATCATCCACAAGTGTGTTGTTGATGTCAATGAGAAGGGAACAGAAGCTGCTGCAGTTACTGTGGTAATGGGAGGATTTGGATGTGGAATTTCTATGGTTGAGGAAGAGAAAATAGACTTTGTAGCTGACCATCCCTTTGCCTTCTTCATCCGGGAGGATGTCTCCGGGCTTGTTGTCTTTGTTGGCACTGTGGTTAATCCTTTACTTCCATGAAGTCCATGGCGGTTGATGTTTAATTTAGTTTCCGCAATTGGCTATTACACGCATGTTTAATTACTTTTAAGTGTTGTAGAATATATTAGAGATTTGCAAGTTGCAACTATATTTTTGTTTTCTTTTCTATTGAATGTCGGAATAATTAAAGGACTTACACTTTTAATTAGTTTGATGCTTCAGTAAAGCTAGATTTGTTGTCGGTTGAGACATTTATATACCATTACGGTATTAATTTTGTTTCACCTAAATTAGGAGTAGTTAACATACTCCGTACTAATTATCAGACATTTTGACTTTTGAGGCGAAGTGGATATTCGGTTGACGACCAGCGAAGATGATAATAACCGATGGCAATAGTCTCATCGTTGAGGTACTCCACGTTATTATTGAACGTTCAAGGGGGGTCTTCTCAAGAGTCCCTAGTTAAAAAGTTTATGCGGCATTCCATTAAACTCCAGAGGTCTTCATGATTTATCTAAGAATTTTATGGATTCTTATAAATAGTGAAATATTATATGGAGTAAAATTTTAAGGTTTCTAAGCTAAAATAAACACGTATTACATACATGTTTATGAATTATGATCACAATCCAGCCTTTTATATGTCCTAAGGTAAGATTGTAGTGGGTTTTATACTTCCTCCGTTCTTTAATTTTTACAACATTGTGATTTTTACACTATTCACAGACCTTACTTTGACAACAATTTTCTGCTAATATACACAATCAAATTATTACGTATAAAATGTTATTGAATTCCTATCAATGTGAATTTCCAAATATCAAATTTTTATATTGTTTATTAATACATAATTAAATATACTACGTATATAATTACAGTCAAAGTTGTGTGTTGGCAAACGTGAAAGTCAAACTGTTGCAAGAATTAAAGAATGATAGTATATACTACGTATTATGAACGGAAGACTATTTGGACAGCATATTATTTATGGGCATAATATTATATTATTTATGGGCATATCATTAGCAATTTAGAGCATCTTTAATGCTATAATGTCCACGGTGCACATGTGGCATGAGTGATAGCCACATAATTATTAGCAAATAAATTATTTCTCTCCTTATTTGAATGATTTTATACAATTTTGGTAAGTTTTTCCCTGCAATGTCAACAACAATGTCAACATTAGACGGTCTCCTTGACATTGTGGAGAAAAACTTATCAAAACTGTATAAAATCATTCAAATATAGAGAGAAATAATTTATTTACTAATATTTATGTGGTCATCTCTCATGCCACGTGTGCACCGTGCACATTGTACCATTGAAGATGCTCTATGTATTTATCTTTCCTTTCCTGGACTAGTAACCGGGCATTGTTCTAACTTCTAATATACGTAGTACTACGTATATAGGTCCCTGAATCTCCATTTTGTATTTTATCATAATATAAGAAAAAATGCTCAAAATAGGAGTACTAAAAGTGAAAAAACTTCTAAAACATGAGAAAGTATGGGTATGTTTGGCAAATGGCTTGTCAGCCAGCTTTTAGCTTGTTTGACCCATTTCAGCTATTTGATTAGTCAAAAAAGCTAATAATAATGTTTGGTAAATGGATTTTAAAATTAGCTTGTTGAGTTTGAAAAGCTGAAAAAAATGGATAGTTGAAGAAGCTAAGGAGAGTAGCTTCTTCATTTGGCCGGTTCAATTTACACCCTATCAGCCATTTCGAAACAGCCAATTTTACCAAACAGTTATTTATAATCAGCTAACATAACCAGCCGGTTAAAACAGCTAACTCAACCAGCTATCAGAAAACAGCTGACACAACCAGCTAACAGCAACAGCTAACAGTCATTTACCAAACAAGGCCTATATGTTTCTAGCTCTTAGTATATAGTCCTATATATAATCCTATTAGAAGAATAAAACAATAAAAACCTTCAAAAAAACTAAGTACGAGTGAAAGATTCATTTTGAAAACAAATTAAATTAGTGTTTTTTCCACTTTTAGTCCTCCGACTATTATGTCATTGACATTTTTGGTACTCGACTTTGATTTTATCCATTTTTAGTCCTTGAAAAAATTTCAACTTTCCTACCCGTCTTTAAAAAAATTCATATTTAGTCATTCAAGTTTCATAAAAGTGTTATTTTTGGTCCTTGAACTATTACTCCCTCCGTCCCCTTAACTTTGTGCCGTTTTACCTTTTTTCATCTGTTCCATTAAGTTTGTCCCGTACCATATTTGGTAATATTTGAGTGGGTAGAATTCATTCTTACTTTATTCACATTTTATTGATTCAATATCAACCACACAATTCTACTTTTTCTTAAAAACCACGGCATATCCCTTTGTCCCAAACTTAGGGGGACAGAGGTAGTATAATATTGACCTTTTTAGTCCTCCACTTATTGCATCAAAATCATAATGAGAGGACTAAAAGTGTTAATTTGACAATAGTCAGGGACTAAAAGTGGGAAATCTTGAAGTCGGAAACTAAAAGTGTCTCTAGTACAATATTCAAGAACTAAAAAATGCAACAATTAGAAATCGAGTACCAAAAGTGTCATTGACATAATAGTCGAGGGACCAAAAATGACAAAAACTCTTAAAACTATGTCATTGAAACTATAAATACACTAAAGATATTTAAATATTCTTCAAATTCCATGTTAAGAGCATCGCCAATGCGACAATAGGCACGATGCACATGTGACATGAGAGAGATATAAACAAAAAATTGAATTTATGACATTCCTCTCACATTCTTTCCACAGTTTTATGTGTTTTTGGTAAGTTTTCTTCTGCAATGTCAAACACAATGTCTAGATCTAGAGATTGTGCTTGACATTGTGAAGAAAAACTTACTAAAACGATACAAGATTCTTCAAATAAAAAGAGAGATATTCTATTTTATTTTTTAATTGACTATCTCTTGGGTACATAAAGCGGAGGTGCAACACTTACTAGATGAAGTAATAAACTTTAAATCGGAGGTGCAACATATATACCGAATAACACCTACATGTTGTATAATTTGTAAACATCAAACTAGTACTAGATGAAGTAATAAACTTGGGAAAATATCACAAATAAACTAAAAAGTGGAAATAATATCACTTTTGTGACTATGCAAAATTCTTTTCAAACGTAACCATAGTTACCTTTTACATTTCAAAAATAGACCACGCGTACGTAGAGACGTAGAGTCCCCTGGAATGCATATTCCAACATTCCTAATTAACCATCGTCCATATGTGGATTATGTGGCTCCTCCACACCGTATATGATAAACTAATACCAGTACTGTCTTTAAGAATTACTCAATTATATAAAATTCTTCTCAAGTATGTTAAAATTTAAAAATTATTAATATGTAAAAAATGTAAATAATTAGGAAAGTAATACTCGGAAAACACTAAATTAAAAAAATAATGAAAAATTAAAGACACTAATTAAATTTTATAGTCATTTGAGAAATACATAGTAAAATATTCAATGTTCAAAAATTGAAAGTTAAATTTTAAAAAATCATAAATTAAAGGAAAAATTTGTAAAACTGAAATTGATAGTGGAAAATTTGTATACAAAACACGACTTGTTATAATGTAAACTGGAAAGTAAAAATTTTAGAAACTAAAGATGTACCAAAAATGAAAATTTAATTTTCGGAAAAGATATTCAATCTGAAAAATTATAAAAATTTATTAAAAAAATGTTTTAGAAAATACTAATTACCACGAAGTAATACATTTATTCATAATTAGAACTTTTTAAAAGACTAGAAACGTTTTAATAAATATTCTAGCGAATAAAAATAAATACATATGTGTATATATATATATATAATTTCAAAAATAAAAAACCAAACAATATTATGAAAAAAGGAATAAAAAAAGGTATAAAAATACTCCGTATCAGGAAAAACAAAAGACAAATTTAAACAGTATAAGGTAATTTAAAAAAAAGGTAATTTCAAAAAACAATCCATATAAATTCTCGAAATTATACAATAAAATAAAAAGATATAAAAACAAAATAAGATTCTTAGAATTTTATAAATATCAAAAAATTAAACTTAATTAGAACCTATTAAATATTAATACCTCAAAAATAAAAATGTGAAAAAACTAAAGAAATACAAATTAAAAAAACTTATTATTGGGGATATTGTGTAGAGATATTTAAAAATAGGTGTATATTTTAGTTATTATTATTATTACCATTTAATTGTACTTTTGTTGCATACAGTTTAATTCTTTGTGTTTCTTTTGTTTTTTATTGTTTCTTTATGTTTCTTTTTGTTTTTTATTGTTTCTTTATGTTTCTTTTTGTTTTCATAAATCAAAATTTATCATATGAAATGAATGTCGCATACACATTGTATACTATACTTCAGATTCTCAGTGAAATATCATGCATACTTGATGAAATATCATGCGTAATTGATGAAAAGAACAAGAAAATTAAATCCTCTAGGCTTATCCACAACTTGTTTAAATTTTCAACTATATATAATATAATGAAGTATGATAGTAAAATGCAGATGAAAAAGGCAAGCAAGTGAATTGAGCTTCCCAGCCCCTCAAGACATTAGCACGAGCAACGCGATTGACTCCGAAAGTGAATGCACCCCATCTTACATATTAGACAATATTTCATCAGCTTCAGGATCAGTAGGGTGGTTAGAACTTAGCAGCTTCTATTATGTACTTCGCCTTCAGATTCCCTTCATTCTCTGAGAACATCACATTCATGTGTTAGCAACTCATTTGAATCCATGGCATCGCCACCGCTGAAAATATGAATGATGAGAGCAGGTATATTGATGACTTTGGGGTTCTTGACAGCTCCAGTTATGTCACTGCAACAACCTTACCGCCTCTTCCATGA